GGCAGTTCCTCGGTAATTTCAAAGTTCTCATGAACACCCCTTATAAATAATACTAATTGAGCAGTATCATTTATACCAATGCTTTTTTCCATAAATATGGAGCAAAATTTAAACTGGCCAATCTTTGACTCTAATTGTGATGTCAAATTTTTATCGATGGCTTCGATTTTAGAAGTCACCGTTTTTCTAGATAAGCTTACAGTTTCCAAATTATTTTTTCTTTTTTGGACATAAAACATCACAAACTTGAGGCCTGCATTGTTTAACAAACTCCCCATCACTGAGAGCCTTATTATTTTTAGCAATATTGTATGCTACAATGTAACTTGCATGTGTAGCTGCTTCTTAGATACTGTTTACCTTTGTTTTCTTTCATATTCCGCTGCCTGGGGTTTAAAATGAACAGTCTGCCTCACATGCGGCAGACTGCGTAAAGCTCCAGGCAGTGGCTTTTCATCCTTATTGGATTCCTATATGCCTGCTCCCCGACAAAGAGATAGCACTTGTTGGCGTTGCAATATGTCGAGCCAACCAGGATTCGAACAGGGAATCTCCTGATCCGTAGTCAGGCGCGTTATCCGTTGTCCCACATAGGTTTGAATGTATTTCATTCTACATGGGTTAAATTGCTCTTCACAAGTTATAAAAAAATTCCCCCATCCTGGTGATCCTAATCATGATGAGTTAATAAACTTATCAAGCACCGACGAAAATAAAATATTTTGATAAGTCTACGACGTTTGAATTAAATCTGATTGCTTAAAGTAGGGCAAAATCGAGCCCAAAGAGTCAGTTACAAACAAACATACAGGAGAAACTAATAAAAGCGATTAAAAACACAAAAAAAAAAACGAATTAGAATAATAAATGAATAATATATGGAATATGTGACATTTACAAAGCATTTTTAATGGATGCATGTACATGTGTAACATGACAAAGAAATGGATTCCTCTTGTGATATGCGCTGCAGTTATTCATTTGAAAGGCAAGTGTAGTCGACGGAGATGATAACTCCAAGGCTTCGCCTCAGCAGTTTCGGCGGTATTTTCGAGGCTGTCTTCAACACAAAATGACGAGCGCTTGCCCATGAAACAGAAAAACCCCTACAGAAAAACTTTCCCCCTTTTGTAGGTATTGTGCAGTTGGCATAATGGCTAACTACAAATTTATTCAATTTAGCAATATCAATGGCAAATAATGAAAGTGAAGGATTCTTTTATTAATACGCTTTAATTAGTTTCACCTGTATGTTTGTTTGTTTGTTTATAACTGACTCTTTGAGCTCGATTTTGCCCTAATTTAAGAGATCAGATTTAATTTAAACATTGCAGACTTATCAAAATATTTTAGTGTCCTTGATAAGTTTATTGTCTCATCATGATTAGGATCGCCAGGATGAGTGATTTTATTTTTTAACTTGTGAAGAGCAATTTAACCCATGTAGAATGAAAGACATTCAAACCTACGTGGGACAGTGGCACAACGTGCCCGACCACGGATCAGGAGATTCCCTGCTCGAATCCTGGCTGGCTCGACCTATTCGCATTTAGCCTTTGTTTTACTCACAATTGAACTATATTACCGGGACCTCATTTAAATATTATAGTTTAAAAGCGTGTTTTTCAGTGTTTTTAGAGTTAATCAAACTAAAAAATAATTGTTAACATAAGAATAAAATGACTGACGAGAAAAAGAATGTCACTGTTCTAAAAGCATAGGGTGCTCGATATCAATCGTTATAATTTTTCACTAGTTTCATTCCGAAGTTAAGTTAATAATGTCATACAAAGCATCCCACGCTTTTAGAACAGTGACATTCATTTTCTCGTCAGTCATTTTATTCTTATGTTAACAATTATTTTTTATTTTTTAGTTTGATTAACTCTAAAAAAGTGTTGTTTTAAACTGTTTTTTTATGCTGTATAAAATCAAATTAGAATATTAATGATTACTTATAATGGCTAACTACTTACATTACAGGTACTTTTCTGCGGACGTGCATTCACCAAAGAAAATGAAAGCCAATGTTTTGCTACAACACGAACAGTTCCTACCGGCGCCATCTTGAAGTGAACAGTGACTTTGTTATCGGGTGGGCTGAAACTGTCCACGTAGAAATTCCGCGCAGTCCTCCTTTTAGCCACAAAAAGTGTACATAAGTTATGTGTATATATTAGAAGATTGGACTTTTCTTCTTCTTCTTCCGCTTCAGATTTGTTGTTGCCCAACATTTTCTGTTATTTGAACAACAACAACAACAACAACAAAAAAGGGTTTCTCGAAAGGATCTTTATTTAGTCAGCACGAACTGCTTTCAGTTGTGTTGACTGAATAAATCTCAATTAATTTGCAAAGCAATTTTGAAAATTGCACGTTTTTAACCTTGTAATAAATATCAGATACAAATACTTAAACTTGAGATGCACTATTTGCCATTAGTTAATTTTGTTCTAAATTAAAAAAAAAAAAAATGTTTGTATTAGAAGAATACAAATTGTACAAGAAATTTCAAGTAGGAACAAAATATAACTAATGCATCGTATGAATCATTATAAATTTAATGAAAATGAATGTTATAGTACATATTTAACATTTTAAACTTTGAATTTTAAAACGTTTTCCCGTTTATTCCGCTTGGTATTCATGAATTGTTACAAACTTGCAACTTTATGCGAATATTCCTTTTTTTTCAAATAACAGAAAAAAAATTAAATGTTTGCTATCTTTCTTTTGCTTATTTAAAATGACAAAAAAATACATCTAGCTCACAATAATGATGCATATGCAAGATTTTTTATTCAAATTTTGAATAATCTCTTTCTAAAAATATTTTAAGGAAACAACTATGGTTAACTTTTTTCTTTCTTGTCATTTTCGGATTTTGTTGACTGTCTTAGAAGTTAAATCAAATCTATTCTTGAATAAAACTCGTATCTTCTTGCTATAATAATTTTATGCATTTGCTTGATATCCTTCTTAAAAGTTTGTTTTTAATAAAGAATTATATTTCAAAAATGTTTTCTTATTTTTCATGCAATATTTTTATTTTTTACAATTAAAATAATTAAATGAAACAAGTATTAAAATAATACAATAAAACACAATAATCGAGAATAAACAATAATAAAATGCTTCAAATACAGGTTAGCAAATGAACTTGTTAGATGAAAATGCAAATTCATTTGCGAATATTATACGATTTTAATTAGATAAATCCAGCAGTACATTGATTATATATATATATATATATATACTATTTTTATTATACACCTCTTTTCGAAGTCAACGTGAAATAACCAACCACAAAAGGCAGGGGGCAGTTCATTGCAGTGGAGTGACTATAGAGGATGTCCTAGGGCATCGGAAGGCATTTCAATCGTTAGCGTCATGCAGAAATGTAGAGATTTATCCGACATCCTTTCTGGCCAAGGGTGGAAGCATTTCGGAAACGGCTAATTTTGTGAACTGTTCGCGTGCCGCCGTGTTAAAAGTATACAGCGCATCACAAAAAAGCACTATCCAAAATCAGCGCCGTCGTACATGTGGTGCACCACGGACGAACAGATGTGCAACCGTTGAGCAACTGACCGCCCAGATGAACCAAGGGTCTACCAAGAATGTATCCTCAACAATGGTTCATCGAACGTTGCTGTGCATGGGCCTCCGCAGTAGACGCCTGGTGAATGCACCTATGCTGACTGCTGTTCACCTGCGACGAAGGCCGGACTTTGCGCGCAAGTACCGAAACTGGACGTCTACATAGTGGCGACAGGTGGCTTTTTCCCATGAATAACATTTTATGCTCCATCGGAGAGATGGACGTTAGCGTATACGGCGTGAAACGTCTGAAGGCAAACAATTGTTTTTGAACAATTGAGAAAGTTAATTAAACTTCCCATCACTGAAATCCTAAACCGGCCGCTTGGGTGAAACCCATGAATCCTAACCACTAGACCACATGGGATTGCTGTATGTCAAAAAGATTATCCGATTGTTAAATTTTGAAAAACCACATTCAAAAAGTAAAAATAAGCAGTTAAATAGCAGAAACTATCTTCCAAAATGTTTTACGGATTTTATATTCTCGTATGACAACAATTGAAAAAGTATATTAAACTTCCCACGCCGGGAATCGAACCCGGGCCGCCTGAGTGAAAGCCAGGAATCCTAACCACTAGACCATGGGATTGCCGTAAGATAACAAGATTCTGCGATTTTTAGAATTTAAAAAACAACATTCAAAACGTAAAATTAAGTACTTAAATTACATAAAACATCTTCCGGATTTTATATTCCCGCTTAACAACAATTGAAATAGTATATTAAACCTCCCATGCCGGGAATCGAATCCCGGGCCACCTGGGTGAAAGTCATGAATCCTAACCACTTGGGATTGCTGTATATCAACAAGGTTCTGCGATTGTTAGAATTTCAAAAACGCCATTCAAAACATAAAATTAAGCAGTTAAATTGCATAAAACATCTTCCAAACTTTTTTACGGATTTTATATTCACGTTTAACAACAATTGAAATAGTATATTAAACTTCCCACGCCGGGAATCGAACCCGGGCCGCCTGGGTGAGAGCCAGGAATATTTACCACTAGACCACATGGAATTGCAGTATTTAAAATAGGGTTCTACGATATTTAGATCTTCTTTTAAACAGTCAGAAAGTGGAACTAATAAGTTTAATCGCATAAGACCTTTTCCAAAAAAATATTACGGGTTTTCTATTCCTGTTTTACGACTATTGAAAAACTCAATTAAACTTCCCACGCCGGGAATCGAACCCAGGCCGTCTGGGTGACAGCCAGGAATCTAAACCACTAAACCACATGGGATTGCGGTAAGATAAAAAGGTTCTGCGATTTTTAGAATTTAAAAAACAACATTCAAAAAGTAAAATTAAGCAGTTAAATTGCATAAAACATCTTCCAAAATATTTTACAGATTTTATATTCACGTTTAACAACAATTGAAATAGTATATTAAACCTCCCACGCCGGGAATCGAACCCCGGGCCACATAGGTAAAAGCCAGGAATCGCAACCACTAGACCACATGTGAGTGCTCTATGTCAACAAGGTTCCGCAATTGATAGAATTTCAAAAAAAAAAATCAAAAAGTAAAAATAAGCAGTTAAATTGCATAAAACATCTTCCAAAATATTTTACGGATTTTATATTCTCGTACGACAACAATTGAAGAAGTATATTAAGCATCCCACGCCGGGAATCAAACCCTGGCCGCCTGGATGAAAGCCTGGAATCCTAACCACTAGACCACATGGGGCTGCTGTTGACAACAAGGTTCCGCAACTCTAAGAATGTCAAAAACCACATTTTAAAAAGTAAAATTAAGCAGTTAAATTGCATAAAACATCTTCCAAAATGTTTTACGGATTTTATATTCACGTTTAACAACAAATGAAATAGTATATTAAACTTCCCATGCCGGGAATCGAACCCAGGTCACCTGAGTGAGAGCCGGGAATCCTAACCACTACACCACATGGGATTGCTGCATGAAAAAAAGGTTCTGCGATTGTTAGAATTTCAAAAACCCCATTCAAAACGTAAAATTAAGCAGTTAAATTGCATAAAACATCTTCCAAAATTTTTTACGGATTTTATATTCACGTTTTACAACAATTCAAAAAGTATATTAAATTTCCCATGCCGTTAATCGAAAACACGCCGCCTGAGTGAGAACCACTAGTCGTAACCAATAGACCACATTTGATTGATGTACATCAATAAAGTTCTGCGATTGTTAGAATTTCAAAAACCGCATTCAAAACGCAAAATTAAGCAGTCAAATTGCATAAAACATGTTCCAAAATTTTTTACGGATTTTATATTCTTGCATGACAACAATTGAAAAAGTATATTAATCTTCCCATGCCTGGAATCGAACCCGAGCCGCCTGGGTGAAAGCCAGGAATCCTTACCGCTAGACCACATGGGATTGCAGTATTTAAAATGGGAATCTACGATATTTAGATCTTTTAAACAGTCAAAAAATGGAACTAACAAGTTTAATCGCATAAGACCTTTTCCATACAGGGTTACGGGTTTTCTATTCTTGTTTTACGACAATTGAATAACTTAATTAAACTTCCCACGCCGGGAATCGAACCCAGGCCGTCTGGGTGGCAGCCAGGAATCTAAACCACTAGACCACACGGGATTGCGGTAAGAAAAAAAGGTTCTGCGATTTTTAGAATTTAAAATACAACATTCAAAACGCAAAAATCAGAAGTTAAATTACATAAAATTACCTTCAAAATCTTTTACGGATTTTATATTCTCGTTTGACAACAATTGAAAGAATATTTTAAACTTTCCATGCCGGGAATCGAACCCTGGCTAGAGCCAGGAATCCTAACCACTAGACCACATGGGATTGCTGAACAATAAAAAGGTTCTGCGATTGTTAGAATTTCCAAAAACCCATTCAAAAAGTAAAATTAAGCAGTTAAATTGCATAAAACATGTTCCAAAATGTTTTACGGATTTTATATACTCTTTTGACAACAATTAAAAAAGTATATTAAACTTCCCATATCGGGAATGGAACCCAGCCCGCCTGGGTGAAATCCAGGAATCCTAACCACTAGACCACATAGGATTGCGATATGTTAACAAGGTTCCGCAATTGATAGAATTTCAAAAACCACAATCAAAAAGTAAAAATAAGCAGTTAAATTGCATAAAACAACTCCCAAAATGATTTACGAATTTTCTATTCACGTTTAACAATAATTGAAATAGTATATTAAACTTCCCAGGCCGGGAATCGAACCCAGGCCTTCTGGGTGAGAGCCAGGAATCCTAACCATCAACACCACATGTAATTGCTGCATGAAAAAAAGGTTCTACGATTGTTAGAATATCAAAAACCCTATTCAAAACTTAAAATTAAGCAGTTAAATTGCATAAAACATCTTCCAAAATAATTTACGGAATTTATATTCTCGTTTTGCCACAATTGAAAAAGTATATTAAACTTCGCATTCCGGGAATCGAAACCGGGCCGCCTGGGTGAAAGCAAGGAATCCTAACCACTAGACCACATGGGATTGCAGTATTTAAAATAGGGTTGTACGATATTTTGATCTTCTTTTAAACAATCAAAAATTGGAACTAAAAAGTTTAATAGCATAAGACCTTCTCCAAAAAATGTTACGGGTTTTATATTCTTGTTTTACTACTATTTAAAAACTTAATAAAACTTCCCAAGCCGTTAATCGAACCCAGGACGCCTGGGTGAGAGCCAGGAATCATAAACAATAGACCACATGGGATTGCTGTACATCAACAAGGTTGTGCGAATGTTAGAACTTCAAAAACCGCATTCAAAACGCAAAATTAAGCAGTTAAATTGCATAAAACATCTTCCAAAATTATTTACGGATTTTATATTCTCGTATGACAACAATTGAAAAAGTGTATTAAACTTCCTTGCCTGGAATCGAACCTGGGCCGCCAGTGTGAAAGCCAGGAAACCTTACCTCTAGACCACATGGGATCACAGTATTTAAAATAGGGTTCTACGATATTTAGATCTTCCTTTAAACAGTCAAAAATTGGAACTAAAAAGTTTAATCGCATAAGACCTTTTCCGAAAAAGTGTTACGGGTTTTCTATTCTTGTTTTACGACAATTGAATAACTTAATTATACTTCCCACGCCGGGAATCGAACCCAAGCCGTCTGGGTGACAGCCAGGAATCTAAACCACTAGACCACACGGGATTGCGGTAAGAAAAAAAGGTTCTGCGATTTTTAGAATTTAAAAAACAACATTCAAAACGTAAAATTAAGAAGTAAATTACATAAAACATCTTCCAAAATGTTTTACGGATTTTATATTTTCGTTTGAAAAAAATTGAAAGAATATTTTAAACTTTCCATGCCGGAAATCTGACCCGGTCTAGAGCCAGGAATCCTAACCACTAGACCACATGGGATTGCTGAAGGATAAAAAGGTACTGTGATTGTTAGAATTTCAAAAATTTCATTCAAAACGTAAAATTAAGCAGTTAAATTGCATAAATCATCTTCCAAAATTGTTTACGGATTATATATTCTCGTTTTACAACAATTGAAAAAGTATATCAAACTTCGCATGCCGGCAATCGACCTGCTGCTATCTAGACCACATAGGATTGCTGTTTGACAGCAAGGTTCCGCAATTGTTAGAATGTCAAAAACCACATTTCAAAACGTAAAATTAAGCAGTTAAATTGCATAAAACATCTTGCAAAATTTTTTTCGGATTTTATATTCTCGTATGAAAACATTTGAAAAAGTATATTAAACTTCCCATGCGGGGAATCGAACCTGGCCCACCTGGGTGAAAGCCAGGAATCCTAACCACTAGACCACACGGGATTGCTGTATGTCAACAAGTTCCGCAATTCTTAGAATTTAAAAACCCACATTGAAAAAACTAAATTAAGCAGTTAAATTGCATAAATCATCTTCCGAAATGTTTTACGGATTTTATATACCCGTTTGACAACAATTGAAAAAGTATATTAAACCTCCCAAGCCGGGAATCGAAACCCGGGTCACCTGGGTGAGAGCGAGGAATCCTAACCACTAGACGACATGAGATTGCTGCTTGATAAAAAGGTTCTGCAATTCTTAGAATTTCCAAAACCCCAATTAAAAAGTAAAATTAAGCAGTTAAATAGCATAAAACATCTTCCAGAATTTTGTACGGATTTTATATTCTCGTTTTACAACAATTGAAAAAGTTTATCAACTTTCGCATACCGGCAATCGAACCCGGACCGCCTGGGTGAAAGTCAGGAAGCCTAACCACTAGACCACATGGGATTGCTGTATGTCAACAAGTTCCGCAATTCTTAGAATTTAAAAAACCACTTTCAAAAAGTAAAATTAAGCAGTTAAATTGCATAAAACATCTTCCAAAATGTTTTACGGATTTTATATTCACGTTTAACAACAATTGAAATAGTATATTAAACCTCCCAAGCCGGGAATTGAAACCCGGGCCACCTGGGTGAAAGCCAATATTCCTAACCACTAGACCACATGGGATTACTGCATGTCAACAAGGTTCCGCAATTGATAGAATTTCAAAAAAAAAACCTCAAAAAGTAAAAATAAGCAGTTAAATTGTGTAAAACATCTTCCAACATGTTTTACGGATTTTATATTCACGTTTAACAACAATTGAAATAGTATATTAAACGTCCCATGCCGGTAGTCGAACCCAGGCCACCTGGGTGAGAGCCATTAATCCTTACCACTAGACCACATGGGATTGCTGCGTGATAAAAAGGGATTTTGAAAAACCACATTTCAAAAAGTGTTAAATCATCTTCCGAAATGTTTTACGGATTTTATATACCCGTTTGACAACAATTGAAAAAGTATATTAAACTTCCCATGCCGGGAATTGAACCCGGGCCGCCTGGGTGAAAGCCAGGAATCCTTACCACTAGACCACATGGGATTGCAGTGTTTTAAATAGAGATCTACGATTTTTAGATCTTCTTTTAAGTCAAAAATTACAACTGGAACTAAAAAAAATTGGAAATAAAAAGTGTAATCGCATAAAACCTTTTCCAAAAAAGGATTACGGGTTTTCTATTCTTGTGTTACGACTATTTAAAAAATTAAATAAACTTCCCACGCCAGGAATCGAACCCAGGCCGTCTGGGTGTCAGCCAGGAATCTAAACCACTAGATCTCACGGGATTGCGGTAAGATAACAAGGTTCAGCGATTTTTAGAATTTAAAAAACAACATTCAAAAAGTAAAATTAAGAAGTTAAATTACATAAAACATCTTCCAAAACGTTTTACAGATTTTATATTCACGTTTAACAACAATTGAAATAGTATATTAAACTTTCCATGCCGGGAATCAAACCCAGGCCGCCTGGGTGAGAGACAGGAATCCTAACCAATAGACCACATTTGATTGCAGTATAAAAATAAGGCTCTGCGATTATTAGAATTTCAACAACAGCATTCAAAACGTAAAATTAAGCAGTTAAATTGCATGAAACATCTTCCAAAGTGTTTTACGGATTTTATATTCTCGTATGACAATTGAAAAAGTTTATTGAACTTCCCACGCCGGGAATCGAACCCGGGCCACCTGGGTGAAAGCCAGGAATCCTAACCACTAGACCACATCGTACTGCTGTATGTCAACAAGTTCCGCAATTCTTAGAATTTAAAACCCCACATTGAAACGTAAAATTAAGCAGTTAAATTGCATAAAGCATCTTCCAAAATGTTTTACGGATTTTATATACTCGTTTGACAACAATTGAAGCAGTATATTAAACTTCCCACACCGGGAATCGAACACGGGCCGCCTGGGTGAGAGCGAGGAATCCTAACCACTAGACGACATGAGATTGCTTCATGATAAAAAGGTTCTGCAATTCTTAGAATTTCCAAAACCCCAATTAAAATGTAAAATTAAGCAGTTAAATAGCATAAAACATCTTCCACAGTTTTGTACGGATTTTATATTCTCGTATGACAATGATTGAATTAGTATATTAAACTTCCCATGCCGGGAATTGGACCCGCGCCGCCTGGGTGAAAGCCTGGAATCCTTACCACTAGACCACATTTCAAAACAGTATTTAAAATAGGGATCTACGATATTTAGATCTTCTTTTAAACAATCAAAAATTGGAACTAAAAAGTGTAATCGCATAAGACCTTTTCCAAAAAAGGGTAACGAATTTTCTATTCTTGTGTTACGACTATTGAACAACTTAATTAAACTTCACACGCCAGGAATCGAACCCAGGCCGCCTGGGTGAGAGCCAGGAATCCTAACCACTAGACCACATGGGATTGCTGCTTGATAAAAAGGTTCTGCAATTGTTAGAATTTCAAAAACCCCATTCAAAAATTAAAATTAAGCAGTTAAATTGCATAAATCATCTTCCAAAATGTTTTACGGATTTTATATACTCGTTTGACAAAAATCGAAAAGTATATTAAACTTCCCATGCCGGGAATTGAACCCAGGCCGCCTGGATGACAGCCAAGAATCCTATCCACTAGAACACATGGGATTGCTGCTTGATAAAAAGGTTCTGCAATTGTTAGAATTTCAAAAACCCCATTCAAAAATTAAAAATTAAGCAGTTAAATTGCATAAATCATCTTCCAAAATTGTTTACGGATTATATATTCTCGTTTTACAAGAATTGAAAAAGTATATCAACTTTCGCATACCGGCAATCGAACCCGGGCCGCCTGGGTGAAAGTCAGGAAGCCTAACCACTAGACCACATGGGATTGCAGTATGTCAACAAGTTCCGTAATTCTTAGAATTTAAAAACCACATTGAAAAATTAAAATTAAGCAGTTAAATTGCAAAAAACATCTTCCAAAAAGTTTTACGGATTTTATATTCACGTTTAACAACAATTGAAATAGTATATTAAACCTCCCAAGCCGGGAATCGAAACCCGGGCCACGTGGGTGAAAGTTAGGATTCCTAACCACTAGACCACATGGGATTATTGCATGTCAACAAGGTTCCGCAATTGATAGAATTTCAAAAAAAAAAACCTAAAAAAGTAAAAATAAGCAGTTAAATTTTATAAAACATCTTCCAACATGTTTTACGGATTTTATATTCACGTTTAACAACAATTGAAATAGTATATTAAACTTCCCTTGCCGGTAGTCGAACCCAGGCCACCTAGGTGAGAGCCAGGAATCCTTACCACTAGACCACATGGGATTGCTGCGTGATAAAAAGGTTCTGCAATTGTGAGAATTTCAGAAACGCCATTCAAAAAGTAAAATTAAGCAGTTAAATTGCATAAATCATCTTCCGAAATGTTTTACGGATTTTATATACCCGTTTGACAACAATGGAAAAAGTATATTAAACTTCCCATGCCGGGAATTGAACCCTGGCCGCCTGGGTGAAAGCCAGGAATCCTTACCACTAGACCACATGGGATTGCAGTGTTTTAAATAGAGATCTACGATTTTTAGATCTTCTTTTAAGTCAAAAATTACAACTGGAACTAAAAAAAATTGGAACTAAAAAGTGTAATCGCGTAAGACCTTTTCCAAAAAAGGGTTACGGGTTTTCTATTCTTGTGTTACGACTATTTAAAAAATTAAATAAACTTCCCACGCCAGGAATCGAACCCAGGCCGTCTGGGTGTCAGCCAGGAATCCTAACCACTAGATCTCACGGGATTGCGGTAAGATAACAAGGTTCAGCGATTTTTAGAATTTAAAAAACAACATTCAAAAAGTAAAATTAAGAAGTTAAATTACATAAAACATCTTCCAAAACGTTTTACGGATTTTATATTCACGTTTAACAACAATTGAAATAGTATATTAAACTTCCCACGCCAGGAATCAAACCCAGGCCGCCTGGGTGAGAGACAGGAATCCTAACCACTGGACCGCATGGGATTGCTGTATATAAACAAGGTACAGCAATTGATAAAATTTCAAAAACTACATTCAAAACGTAAAATAAAGCAGTTAAATTGCATAAATCATCTTCCAAAATGTTTTACAGATTTTATATACTCGTTTAACAACAATTGAAAAAGTTCGTTAAACTTCCCATGCCGGAAATCGAACCCGAGCTGCCTGGGAGAAAGCAAAGAATTCTAACCACTAGACCACATGGGATTGCAGCATTTAAAATAGGGTTCTACGATATTTAGATCTTCTTTTAAGCAGTCAAAAATCGGAACTAAAAAGTTTAATCGCATAAGACCTTTTCCAAAAAAGGGTTACGGGTTTTCTATTCTTGTTTTACGACTATTGAAAAACTTAATTAAACTTCCCACGCCGGGAATCGAACCCAGGCCACCTGGGTGACAGCCAGGAATCCTAACCAATAGACCACATGTGATTGCTGTATAACAATAAGGTTCTGCGATTATTAGAATTTCAAAAACCGCATTCAAAACGTAAAATTAAGCAGTTAAATTTCATAAAACATCTTCCAAAATGTTTTACGGATTTTATATTCTCGTTTGACAACAATTGAAAAAGTATATTAAACTTCCCATGCCGGGAATCGAACCCGGGCCACCTGGGTGACAGCCAGGAATCCTAACCACTAGAACACATGAGATTGCTGCATGATAAAAAGGTTCTGCAATTGTTAGAATTTCAAAAACCGCATTGAAAACGTAAAATTAAGCAGTTAAATTGCATAAATCATCTTCCAAAATTGTTTACGGATTTTATATTCTCGTATGACAATTGAAAAAGTATATTGAACTTTCCACGCCGGGAATCGAACCCGGGCCGCCTGGGTGAAAGCCAGGAATCCTAACCACTAGACCACATGGGATTGCTGTATGGCAACAAGGTTCCGCAATTGATAAAATTTCAAAAACCCCATTCAAAACGTAAAATTAAGCAGTTAAATTGCATAAAACATCTTCCAAAATGTTTTACGGATTTCGTATTCTCGTTTTAAAACAATCGAAAAAGTATATTAAACTTCGCATGCCGGGAATCGAACCCGGGCCGCCTGGGTGAAAGTCATGAAGCCTAACTACTATACCGCATGGAATTGCTGTTTGATAACAAGGTTCCGCAATTGTTAGAATGTCAAAAACCACATTTCAAAA